TTCTTAGAATTGACCTTCATATAATGTTCCTTGATATAGATCTTTTTTTAATGTGCATCTTATTTTTATTTTATTTTTACTAAAATTAAATGCGATTTCTTTTCTTTTCTTTTATTTGTTCAATCTTCTTTATTTGATGTACAATATAGAATTATTTTATATTATCTTTATTTATAATTCTTAATACTTATAGTAAAGTTGGTGAATTCCATTTAAGAACATCACTCATCTTCATTGTATGATCTTTGTTTATTTTATAAGTTTTATGAACTTAATTACTAGGAATAGTAATATATCTCGAGTATAGTTGTTAAATGAATACCTAGATTTTTACACCTTGAAAATCATAGGAGATCCCTTCTATATTTCTACAAAGGAACTATCTATGTTCTTATATCAAGTCCTTAGAATTTTTGTTTTTTTTCAAGGTTAAGATTAGAGAATTCAAGCTTAATTCTATCTTCAATAATTTTTTCAATTTTTCTTATTTTTTTCAACATAGACTTTAAAGTTCTTTCATTAAGAACAACTATATCTTCATAAACTTTATCTTGTCTTCATCTTCTTCAATCTAGTCTTTAAAGCTCTTGCTTTCTTGTATTGAAAAATATCTATATTTTCATAATTTTTATTTTATCTTTGTCTTTTTCAACCTAATCTTTAAAGTTCTTACTTCCTTCTATTGAAGAACATCTATATTTTTGTAAAATTCATCTTATCTTTGGCTTTGTCAATCTAATCTTTAAAATTCTTGCTTCTTTGTATTGAAGAACATCTATATCTTCATGAATTTTAACTTATAACTCTTATAATTAAATAATAGACCAAAAGTTCATGATGAAATGACGTGCAAATATGTAAATTATAATCTCTTATTATGATTTTCTTTTGATAATTATAATAAAACTTTAAAGCTATTTATAGCTTTTATATAGTGAGTTTCTTTCAATATTATTTAAATATAATAAAATTAATTTATTTTTAACTATCACAACTATAAGAGGTGGTTAAAATCACTTTGTCTTTTAAACACATGGACAACTAATTCTTTTTCCTTTTCACACTCCCTTATCTTTTTTTAATCTTATTTATATTTATTTTTATAATTTATTTTTCTATACTATGTTTTTTCTTTCTTTTTTTATACTAATTTATTCCTTTCTCATTTCTTTAAAATATATCTTTTTAATAAAATAATATCTTTATTTTATTAATTATAATTTCTAAATTTAACAATATATTCTTAAACAGCAAGTTCAAGTAAAGCCACAATAATTATAAATTGATAATTGTTATAGCAATAGAGTCTTTCTTATAGAAAAGAATTATGTTTGGCCTCACATTGTACAAAGCATGTATTCTTTTAAAAAGTCAATAAGTATCTTCTAAATTTGTAGCCATGGTATATACATACTATTTACAATCCTTTCTATTAACACCAGCACTAATATTGATTGACCACTTATAGGCAACCATAAACTTGGCCTCAAAAGTACATATTCAATTTAGCATGTTGCCCCCAAAAAGATTGAATTTGTTCTTTATTACTTTGTTTACTTGAGCAACTAAATACATAAGAGCTCTACATTTTTATGTTTTTTTTTTTCATACCTCAAACTTATTTAAACCATGTAACTTTTGGAAGTTTGTTGAATCTTCTAACAAGGAAATAATTGCAGCATACTTAGTTCTTCTAAAATGACATCCTTTGCCACATTCTACAATACTAGGAATATTTTTTGGATGTACATGAGTGTCAAAGACATGAATCTCAATGAACCAAAAACTCAATACACTTTTGTGTCACTCAAAAAGATTGGATATTTACTCAAATTAATATAATATTGAAATTGGAATATCTATTGCCAAAAACAAAAAGATTAGAAAGTCTTGAAATAAGATCAAGGACTACACAAGTGTTGATAAGAGTAAAGAAGACTTCACTCTTGCCTTCATATATATTATCTAACTAAAAGTTATGTGATAACTTTCTATAGGACTTTCAACATGTGTCCAATTTATGAGATATGTATCTAACTTATAAGATAAGTTTCCTATATGTGTACTACATGATTAACTTGTTACACAAGCTACTAACATGTGCAACACATAGCTAACTTGTTAGCCAAGTTTTTAACCTACCAATTAACTACAAACATGTATAAAATCAAATATGCATCTATAAAGCTTCTAAGAAGCTTTACCATAAGATAATATCAAATTTATCTATATTTATCTTCTATCTAATACTTCTTATTTTGGTAAATATGTATATCTATGATAATAAATAAGCAAAGAAATAGCAAAAAAGAGTGAAAAAGAAGATATAAAATATAATAGTTTAAGTTAAGTTTAGATACTATATTGACGTGATATTATTTAATAATTCACAAAATCACTATATAGTGAGTAGGTATCACATATTTATTGAACCAAATATCAAGAGGTACTAAGATTTGAACAATGATGTTTTAGATATGATATTTTGAGGAATCTTTAAAATATTAGGTAGTGAAATCTAATTATTTGATTTTGAATTTTTTCCATATTTGAAATCCCTTAATAAAGTACATCAAATTTGTGTAGAACAAGATCTCTACAAAAATTGTTGTCAATTAATTTATTTGGCTATAAAATTTTAAAAAAAAAAAAAAAAAAAAAAAAAAAAAAAACCTATAATAAAATTATGCCCAATCTATTGTATCCTATTATTGTAAATTATTATAAATCCTTTGTCAATTGATGCCTTCTTTAATCCTATTAAAGAAATTGATGGAGTGTATACAAAGTTGTCAAATAAGAAGCTATTGATATTAGTTGTACAAAAAAAAAAACAAAAAAAAAAAGGAGGACATAGAGAAAAATTTGAAGTTACAATTTTAATCCAAGAGAAAATTACTATCCTTGGTTAGGCCATTGTAGTCTTTGATCCTACCAAATTTTCCCATTTTATGGTGCATTAAGTTGTGTAAAGTTTGAAGCATAATATTTGTGCTTCCAAACAAGAAAAACTACTCTAGATAATTGGCTTATGTAATAAACATCTATCATCCTTCTTATGAAAAAGATTACTTTTGTAACTTGATAATTTGAGATATTGGATATTAAAAATTAGAAGTACTGACTTACAACCATAAAACTAAAGTGATGAATACAAAACAATATCAAGTAAGAGAGAATACCAAGTTATGAAGGATATACTCAGGGAGGTAAAACTATACAACAACATAAAAAAATTGTTTTGTCATTTGTACTACATATTTAATTTTCCAGTAAACATATTACACAGCATTACTAGTTAAGTTATTGTAAAGGAGGATTGTAAAGGAAAGAGAATTGGCCATACAAACATGTTTAAGAAATTGAAAGGCATGATTTGCTGTAAACATGTGTGTGATGCACCTTTTCCCTTTCCCTTTTCATGCCCCTTCCCAATTAAAAGTGGAAGTTACAAATAAAGCACTTAACTACATTACTGTTTTAGACAAAATGTCCATATGTTCTACTTTGATATTCAGAATGTTGAATTCCAGTCACATGAATGAAATTCCAATAAGGAGGGAGAAGGGAAGTGTCATTTTGCATGGAGAGCTACATATCAAAATCAGATATGATGCTATGCTACAAATGCAATGTTGTACTTATTTTTTCCTATTATTGTGATGGAAGAAGGGGAAAAAAACTACCAGGGGATAGATGAGAGGTCCCCATGGGAGGTTTCTTTCTTTAAACGCAGACCTGTTCTGTTTCTTTTTCTTTCTTTTATATTTTTTCTTTCTTGCATTTCATTGGTCAAATTTTGAAAATAAGATGCTGATGGGTTTGGGTGGAAAAAGAAGCCATCTCTGGTCTACTTTCATGTGTGTGAAGGCATTCAGCCAGACAATTTATTCGTTTGTTTCAGCTGTAATCAATAGCCACCCAGAGGTGCTAGGACAGCACAACATGTGAAGAATGAAGGCAATTCATTTGCTGTCCATTTCACCTGTTTTTCATGGAATTTTGTCACCCATGAACACACATATATCCTGTTCAAAACCCAAAGTCTCTTTGTCGAGGGGGAAAAAGCTCATACCTACACACAAAGGTGAAAAAGAAATAAATAAATAAATAAATGAAGCTAAAAAAACCAACGTGGCCACAGAGTTTCTACACACACATTCTTCTTAGTGTTGCTCTCCAAATTCCATGATCTGAAATAATTTTTAATATAAAGGAGACTGCATCAATTTTTAACATGTGCACTTCTTTTGTAAATCAAACATTACTATAATTTCCTTCTTTCCTCTGGGCCATCCACTCTTTTGCCCCCTTTCTTGAAGAATGTAGTTTACATATATATATATATATATATATATATAAACATAGTTTCCTTATTCATTCACTTACAAATACTACAATCAATAAGTATGTTACATTTGCAATGGTCACTGTTTAGTTGTACCTTCCATTTAGAGCTCTAAACAAGAGGAGGAAAGGCTACACCTTGATATTTTGTATATGTGTGTATTTGTAAATGTGTGTGTATTTATGAAGAGTTTATAATAGTGAAATTCCATTGCATAGCATTATCAGTATCAAGTTGATAAGGTGATGCACATTAAAGTGACATTAAGATCAAGTCTTTTCTTTGGAACAAGGATCAAAAGCAGTATTACAGTGTGAGAATGAGAAGACTTTTTTTTAAAATATGCATAGAAGGAAAACAATTTGGCAAAGAAAGAAAAAGTAAAAGACCCGGAAGGAGAAACCACCTCTCATGCCCAACTTACACCCGAGTGACGCATGATACTGCCCGTCGAGGTCTAGGGCCATGGCGAAAGCCTCTCTCTCTCTACAATCTTATTAAAATTGGCTTGAGGCTCTTCAAGTTGCAGGCCCAGGTGCGGATGCACCCAGGATATAGTCCGAACAAGCCAGCTAAAATGTTAAGTGAACAATTGAACAGAGCAATCAATTAAAGACTCCAAGACGGCTCTTCATGGACCTGGCTTCCACAATACCTCCAAATATCACACCTGGTCTTTTTCACTTCAACCAATTTCATAGCCAACATGACCAAAACGTTCGAAATGTTGTGATTAGTGGCGAGATCCTGAATGTCCCAAAGCAGTTTCATGCTTTGTACATTGTTTGAGCACAATAAAATATCGTTACAGCCTAAGCAGACCCTTAGACAGCAATGGTGCCACGATTGAGCTGGAAGGATTCAGCTTCGCCATCTGTTAAAGAATGGAATTTTACACCACAACCTGAGGTACGCTCTGCACAACACATGACTGATTGATTGTTACACCATTGTCTTGCTAAATGGCACCTGGTCTGGCATTAGAGAGAAATTTCACAAGCGAATTTGTAGACCAAGGTATCTCTCGACCAAAAAGGAACCAAAAAAGCTTCATGCGCCAGGAAAAGCGATGGATGACACTGTGACTGCTGCGGCCAGGGCAAGCAAACCAACAAGGACAGGTAAATCATTGTCAGCTGCCAGGAGCCGGTGCCTAATCTTTTCCACATTTAAGTCTTCTTCATCTTCTAAAACCTGGAAAGCCAAAATTTAAAAATAAAGCAAGTGAGGATCTTATCTATGTGTTACGTTACATTCTCTGGAAGGTTTGCAACTGAGAAAAGTAAGGACAATGTTAACCAACTACAATAGACACAGCGTTTGAACGTTTGTGCGAAACGCAGGGCTCTCTTTGCACCATGTAAGAGTCTCAATCACGTTACAACATAAAAGCTATAAAGAGTAGTTGAGAGTATGGAGCATCATACCTGATCTTTCTCACGAGGGGCTTCAAAGACTGGCTCGTTGACGGCAGCTAGAGAGGGAGCTTTTTGAGGATTCAGCAATTCTTCGTAACGACCAGTAAAGCCCACATAAGCAGCCTCAGTGTGTTTGATGCCCATCACTGATCCGAAAAAGTCAGTTACAAGCACCTGTAAGACATGTAAAACAGAAAACCCGTCGGGTGCAACACGGGTGAAATCGGCACTCTTCTGTTTTTGATCTTCAATATGAAAGTCTCACAGAGCAAACGAGAAATAGTGCTTGTTTATAGCATAACATTCCAGCACCTACTATGATCGATAACGATATTTTTAAAAGATATAAGAGCAGCAATTACCTTGTCCAAGGTTCGAGGAAACAGGTCCGCTCTATAGTCCATGTGCGACATGAGTAGACTTGGTGAGTACGATTTAAACAAACTGCACATTATCAAAGCACCAAAGATCAGGAAATCTAATCCTTCCTCAAGTCAATAAGCAAAGAGACCTCATTGGAGCTCATGAGTCATTAGCCGAACACAACACCATGATTTCAGAATTGGAGTAGCAGAAGTTTATATAATCATCAACCTTTCCAGAGTAGCGTTGCTATGGATGTCAAGATTTTCAAAGAACTGCAGAGTGTAGTAAGTGAATCGATCCACAACTGAGACACCCACCTGTCATGCCCAACCACTAATTTCTCAATAACTACATCACAACTTCCATCTATGGCTCTGTGCATCTACGTTTTAAAATCCGCGCTCCAGGCACATGCTAGGTTCACATGCATCCATCACAGACTCGATTCATTGATAATGTTAAACTGAAACTGAGCACGACGGATTATACAAAACAATAAAATCACCTCCAGCTTCAGATCAGCTGATATCAGAGGCATGATGACTATAAATAACATTAGGAGAACCGAGTAGAATTCCAAGTCCAGTGGTAAACGTACATCTGCATCAAGATGATGAGAATATGAGTTCTCTCCTTTCAAACTACTGCCCACGGCAAGTATACCAGGCGAATAGAGCTGCAGAAAAGGACCATCAATGTAAATAGGTCAATTGATCAGAAGAAACCATCATATGCCTGAAAAGGTTTCCATATCAGCATGCACACTACCCACTTATTGATAAACTCCAAACAATTATCGTGTATTTTTTGAGGTCCATCTAGAGCTCTACTGTGGGGATGGCTAAATAGTTTTGGTAAAGTCCATACATTCCAGAGAAAAACCAAATAGAGAGACCTTTTAGAAGAAATACTAACATGCACACTACATGGCTCTAGCGTTTAAAGGGGTACAGCAACCAGTACAACAGGTACCTGAGAGTGTAGAGTGGCTGCCTGACACGTATCAACCATTACTAATAGTTCCTTGTATCTGCAGAAACCTTGTTAGTTATTACATTGCGAAACATGGGTGAAATACAAGCGGCCCAACATCCTTTACTATGTTAACACACCAGACAGCTTGAGCGTTATTGTGGTTGTAATTTAGATACAACTCCAAGCCAAATATGAACATGGATGCTTCATCATCCTCTACTAAAACATGTAACGAAGCTTGATAACAAGCAACTCAACGTACGTTCCAATACAAAATTGCTTGATTATCATAGAGCTAACATGTGAAGACTAGGCTAAATCATAGTTAACTTTTAGAGAACCACCTTCTCTTCTCATGCATTTGAGCAAATGCGTCGGCAAGGTCACGGCTCTGAATCTCCTCAGAATCCTGAAACTTTAAAAACTCATCACCACCGTGACCTGTCATGTAAAGAAGTATGTTACTCCCTTCGTCACTAAGCAGTCGTTTAGACCTTGGAACAGCAGCATCGTGGCGACCGGTTAAAACACGTAGAAAATTTTCTACGGTGACTTCATAACCCCTGTAATCAACCTGCGGTTCAATTTTTTTGGGAAACACACGCACTTATAATCCTTCTCATATACCACTGCTGAAGCACCCTAACAATCATAAAACACACCAACAGTAGTTCTGGGAGAGCGAAATCCAAATACTTCTGACAAATTCAACATCCGCAGGATAATAACGTAACCATGGTACGTGAACATCACACTAGTATATAACCCAATATAAATACCCTCAAAATGTCAGTACGCCCAAACCTCAATATGGTCACCATATAGGTTGAGTCGATGGTTTTCATTGTTGAACACCTGAGCCGGGCGCGCATTTCGAGCGTTACAGGCTACATCGTCAGCAAGCATCAATATAATGTGATCATCAGGGATACCTAGCCGCTTCACTGTCCTAAAAGCATATCACCAGGTCTGTGAATAAGTTTTAATGTTGTATAGGGGCTGGATTGTGTAACTGATCACCACAATAAATGAGAGAGTTTGACATTAACCTACTGCAAAAAAAACATAATACAAGAGGTTATTTGTTTCTACAAGGTTTGACACTACGGACAAATGCCACTATTAATGGTAGCCGGCATATTTCCGTGTAACAGAGCCACCTGAAGAGTGAATTTTACACCCTACTTTTATACGGAAAGAAAAACTATCCTTCTACATACGGTACAGCTTTTCACAAAGAAAAATATCAAAGATAGTGTACTACTTGCCTGTACAAAGAGAGAGTATTCGCCATATGTCGATAATTAAACCTGTACATGTCAAACTGTCCTCAACAACAAGCTTAAAGGCAATTCTCTTCATATTTACGACATCTTCAATAAACGTGCGCCACCACGCAAATTTCAGAAATCGACATTTACAAATCCGCATTCATCACTACCTAAATGAACCAAAACCCATAACCCTAACATCCGCATTCCAACCTCCAGGTTTTGGCATTTTCCCAATAGATCCACGATCAACACAGAAACTTGAATGCGATCACTTGTCAGACGGACGCAACACGTACCAGTAACGCGATGTGCACACAAGTACAGCCCAATTGTTGGTGTGTTTGGTCCACGTAGGAGCAGCACCAACCTCGGCAAACAACATCGGCAGCAGCATTAACCAGCTCAATAATGCTGAAGCCCTCCAACTTACAACCCCCATGCTGCCTACGCCTCCGATTCACCCCGATCTCTCCTCTACCTCACTGCTGAAACGGAATCGCAACAACACGCGGCTCCAGGCGATTCAGAATCTCCTCGTCACAACTTGCCCTACTTATGAAAACCAGACTGGTCTTGAAATGAGTCATGCTCAAAAACTATAGCCTGAAAGTTTTAGACTGTAACTAACGTTGGTGCATGTCATAATTTTCCCCCTCCACCCACATACATGTCGGCTCCCTGCATCCCATAAAAAATTTCATGCGTTCCACTTCATGCGTCAAACATGATGCGTTCAGTAAGGACTGAAGCAAACCAGAACGAGCGTGCTTCGGCGTTCTCCAGAAGTGCAAACCTCTTTCACTTGATGCTGAAAACCAGTAAGCGCCGGGTAGGTTCTCATGAATCCAGTAGAGAATGGATGAATAGTCTTGTGGATGAGCAGAAGGACCCACCTGACACCGAGAAGTTCAACACATTGGAGGAAAGAAAACGGAGCGAAATGCGATTTTGTGTTGGGTCGAAAGTTTGATGGATCCAGAGCGGTAAGATGGTTGGAATATCAATGGAGCGAGTGCCGCATGAAGATGGCGAGGTATGAGTTTCTCAGGTGATGTGGAGCACACGGCATCTGGAGTAACGTCTTTGCAAGAATGCATCACTGTTATGTCTTGAGGAGGGTTGTATAAGGAAACCAGCCCTTCGGTGGAGAGGTGTTGGAGATGGCGAAATGGTGGGTGGTCTGGGGAGGCGGGACGCTAGGAATTTGCGTCCGATTTTTGTTGGTGGTCATGGGGTCCTTGTCATTGCTGGATCGTCGAGTGGAGGTTGTGAGCCCTGTCACCAGCCTCTCTCGCTGTAAGCATTCTTGCTCTGTGCCATCAACTTCGATATAGATCGTCGGAAGGTATTGTGATGGTGAGAGAGGATATCAAATGAGCTTGATAATCGTGGTGTTGGAGCGTATGACATTATGGGGCTCGATGAAAATTCGTTGTTTATCTGGATACAGAAGTGTCGATTCTGATGAGGAGAACCCTAATCTCTCTTCTCTCTCTCTCTCTCTCTCTCTCTCTCTCTCTCTCTCTCTCGCTCTCGCAAAATTTCACGAAGGGAATGGCTGCATGTGTGACGGAAGTAAAAAATTTATGCTTAGAAATTCAATGCGCTAGTGGTATCTAGTTGAATCGAGAGACTGTGTTTAGCTTTGTTTTTGAACGTCCCTTCTTTAATTAGATTCACAATCATCTTAACTCGCATTTTTCGAGAAAGTTGCAAATCCGCGGGCTTTTAATCGCTGCTCGTCTGGTGTTTTATATATTTGTTAAGTATTCCGTATGCGTAATCTACAAGAGATTCTTGGAGACCTCCTTGGTTTTAAGCGCTCTAGCCAGCAGGGTTTTACTTCAAAATAATTGATTTCGGTTGATTTGTTCTTGAAGTAAGACGGAATTATGATAGAATAACAGCATGTTATGCTATTTAATTTGATGGTCATGTTTTTTCAACTGCTCGTTTGTTCGCTCTTGCAGTGGCAGAAGGCTATTGGCTCAAAGAGTATGGCAAGTCACCTTATGCAGGTGAATATCTCTTCTCCAGCTTCACTGTACTTTAGAAAGATCATGATAACCATATTCCCAATGCCCTCTCTTCTATGACTGATAGCTAGTCTAAGTTTGAAGTCCAGATTCGGGTATACCAATGTAATACGAGTCTGTGAGAATAGTTCCTTAGTTGCTTTCATTGTTGCAAATGCAAACCTGGACCGTTTCTCATGTCAGCTCCTTCGTTACGTTTGCAGGATCTGCATACCATGGATCACCGTTGTTACTCTCATTGATCGGTCCTGTCATCGGTGATAGGTAATCACTCGATACAATACCCTCCATGCGGCTGGTGAGTTATTAGTATGTTTGTAACGTAATATTTGTAGCGAATGAAGATGTGATGTGTAGCTCTTGGCAGAGTAAGATACTTCTTGTTGGTTCGACAACTCCTTGATAATGATCTTAGATGCTTCGCTGATTTTATCAACTCATTTGGTGTTCTGATTCCAGGCAAGATACATCCATTGGTTACCTTCTTTGCAGGCAAGCCCACTGTCTGGCCCTGTTGTATTTTTATTGTTATTCTGAGCTTGTGTGCGTTTTTCTTTTCCATCGCATCGGTCAAACATGATTCATGCTCCCTGTTTCTAAGCATCGACCAGGTTACAAATCGATGTACATCTGATTTTGAAATGTCTTCGCAATTGAAGTGTTTTCAGCGTTTGCCATTGTAGCCTTGCTATTCAAAGCCTTAGTATGACTCGCTTGGATTGCTTCAGAGTAGCAGTTGCTTTTACTGTTCAGAAAATGAGCTGTACGTCTGTGAATGCTCTAAACTGAGCTTGTGACAGTAATGGAGTGGATCCCAACAATGTGTGGGTGCAGCTGTTCATTGTTCGTTGTTGCAGATCTTATGAGCGCACTATTGTTGAGATCGACTGGGAAGCTTTTGGAGCATGGACATTCGAAACACTTACAACTGCTTGGGCTTACAAATCTGCTCAGAGAAAAAACAGATAGGAAAGGTAAAGAGCTATAGCTGTTGTTCAAGGAGATAATATTTTTTCCTCGCTCTCCTTACGCTCATATGGTTGTTGATCCTGTTGATGTGACCAAACGAGGAACATCATGGTAAGCATCATAATCTTTGCTAGCTCTTGCAGGCTACTTCTATGATGCTTGCTCTTGTGATGTGCTTCTGGTTAACGCTTGAGATGAAGTTGTGCAAAGTTATTCTTGAGAACGGAAGGGCTGTTTCCAGGAGAACATTTGTAGTTAAGGGTGTTTCCGCTTCATGCACCAATCAGGTTTTACCTTATTTGGCACTCTTCAATATCCGATGACACATTCATTCATGCTTAGTAATTGTACTGCAGATAAGCTTGGAATAGGAGATATCTCTTTCTTGGTTTACTTATTCAATCCGTTTACCATCGCTGTCTGTGTGGGAGGCTCAACGTCTTCAATCGAGAATATGTTAATAATTCTTAGTCTATATGGGGCTGCAGCAGGTCTTAAGTTTCTTCTGACTCTTCTTAATATGAGCATTCATTGCCTTGGTCTACTCTGCATTACTTTATACTTATAGATTGTAATCTGCATTGTGCTTGACGATTAACTTGTTTTTACTGAATTGTTGTTGAGAGGTCTTCTCATGTGTAAAAGGGTTGGAATGGCGTGGTGGGCGGCAGGGAAAGTGCCACTGGCAGGTTTTGGATGGGCCATGGCGACACACTTGAGCATGTACCCGGTTTTCCTTATCATTCCTGTATGTAAATCATTGCCTTAAACCTTGCTCTTGTTTTTGCCACTCAAAGGAGAATCTTTGAACGACTGTATCTTTGTCCAGCTTGTTTGACAGAATCAAGTTTGAACTCAATGCTGAAGTAGTTTAAATTGCAAACACTGTTTTTCTTTTTGGTTTAATGCCTGCATCTGAGATCTATTGCTGCACGGAGAGACGAAATTGTTGGAATCGAATCTGCGACCCTGGTTTGGATGTCTCAGAAAGGCTGTGTCCATGATTCGACACTCTTTTTAATTCTGTTCTCTTGTTCTATTTTTAGATTTATTACCTATTGACGAATGGACTTGATAGTCCCCCAAATAAACTGTTCGAATTAGCAAAATCTGTTGAGCCAGCTGCTAAGGAAGATTCGTGCCACGGGAAAGACGCAAACGATTCCTATTTGCAATCCTCAAAGTCATCGTCGAAGGGGTTGCAAACAACTCCTATGCTTTCATCAAGAAGAAAGTGGGTGGTTATTTCGAAGTTGGTGTTTTGGTCAGCTATCTCTTGGGTGTGCATTTTGCGATTGTGCAAGGTTGCACTGCTGGGCCGCTCCAGCTTAATCACCATGTGGCTAGAGTAAGTCATTTGATATTATGATACTAGCATTCAAGTATGCTTGTTATCAGGGTTACACATGGCTTTGATTTTTTTGAATTGGATGCCAAATGCCCTTCTGAAATGTGGTATGTGACATGAAATCCAGGACTCACAAGTATATGCTTACTGTGGATGATCTAACTCCTAACTTGGGACTTTTCTGGTGAGTCATCTTTGAAATGGATGCATTCATGTTTGTTAACCATAATGCATCACTCTAGGCACGTAAAGAAGTCTAATTCACTCATACAAACATTAGTCGTCTTCCAGACCTCCGTAAGAATTTTGTTTTTGGTCATCTTAGAATTATGGGTGTCTCACGGAATTGTTTTTGCAGGTATTTCTTCACGGAAGTGTTCGACTTTTTCCGCAACTTTTTCCTAATGGTCTTTCATGCAAATATAGCTTTCATGGTTCCGCCACTTACTATACGACTCCGCCATCGACCCATATTTCTTGCATTTATCCTTACGGCAATCTGCTCTATGATCAAGTCATATCCCACAGTACGTAATGGTTTGGCTATTGTTTGTTATGGTTATGATGAGTTCTGCTACTGAATATGGTGAGCCTCAGCATGTAAACATTAATCGGTGAACGCTTCCAATTCTGGATGTCTGTTTCAATTATAACGAAGTTCTCAACTGCTGATAACTTCTTGCACTGATAGAGTTTTTCTGCCAGGTTGGTGATGCAGCCCTGTACATAGGGTTGATGGCGCTTTGTGTTCATGAATTGTCTGGTGAGACCTGCCACACCAATCCAGCTTTGAATTGAACATCTCTGAACTCTACCTATGTTTTTTATTTTGAGCTTGGGATTAACTTGCAGTGAGCATCTATCCAATGAATTATTCGCACACTGGGTTTCTTTGACGAGATCATTCCTGGTTATAGTGTATATCCGACATGGACCACGAATCCACGTGTAACTAATAACTAACCATCTTGAAATGGTTGTCTTGTGTAGAGCTTAAATACTTCTATCTCTTATTGAACGGATATATCTTGATCAGTGTCCTGGGCCCTGTTATGTACAATCTGTGGATATTTAGGGTATGTCTGCTGACACATAGTTTGTTTTCTCACTCGCTCGTGTGTTCGCAGTGACAACTACCATTAATATGTATCACAATCAATTCAGGTTTTCAATTTCTTATACTCGAAATTGTCATTGTATGTCAAGACGCGCACCCGGATAAAACTAATAGCCCTTTGCATGTTATATGCAGGGAACAGGAAATGCAAACTTTTATTTCGCTACTAACCTAGTATATGCCACTTTACAAGTGCGTGTCTCACCTTCAACAGTGCATGCGACGTTGTATCTCTGCTGGGGACCTCGATAATTTATTCAGCTCTTGAATGACGAGTTTCTTGTCCTGAAACGTTTCAAGCGGATCCAGTCGTCTTTACAATTTTCTAAAAAAATTGTTGAAAGATCTTCCATTAACCTGCTGATATCGTTGTTTGCAGACGGTACTGATCGTTGAAAGCGTGAGCACAGTGATTGGGTATGACAAGCATCTCTTGAAGGAGATCAAGCTTCACAGCTCGAACAAATCCTCACAGCTTCATCCAAAATCGATGGAAGTGAGTGCTTGATTGGATACCTTCGTAGCCACAGGACGTAGTTGGGGTAAATCGGCGCGTGTTCTCCACTCATATGAAGAAAGATGTTTAGGGGAATTCAGTATCTAAACAAGCGATTCAAAGGCTTGCGAAAATGGTACAAAGATAATCATCTGCTGATTTTGCAAAAAGTTTAATCTTGAAACAAAAGATCCAACTCTAACTGCTGTTGATGTACTTTTGGCATCCACAAATGTACATCGTTCTTTTCCGTGAAATATGAGAAAACTTTGATTTTCTCACAACCACTACTTGCTCATGTATGTATTTGTGAATTGGTGAATGCTTTTCCCCAATTTGGCAATTGACTGTACATCAATGTATGGGGTGAATTGTGTGTGCAATTTTCGTTGGAGATTTGAAGAATAAATGTTGCACACATTCTTGACGAAGATTTGAAGAATATGTCGTAGGGAATTTGGTGGCAGTAGCTGTACACAAACAATTCATAGATTAGTCAGGAAACATAGCCTTGGCAAGAAATTTGAGTAACAAGTATTAACAAATGACATATTCGTACCACTCTGCAGAATAGACGTATATTAACATGCATTTAGAAAGTATACTATATATTGACATGAGCGTTCTTAGATTAAGATGCAATCGTAGGCAGCATATAACATAAGGTGTGATGCCCCAAAAACAAAACCAGCTCTGTACAAGGGCACGAAATCAATGGACTAGTAATGTTTGAGCAAGAGTTTCACTTAAATGTCAAGTATACTGACTGACCAGTCTAGGATGGAGATTCCTGGACCGATATTGTCTCAGATTGGCTCACTAAATTCTTACAAAAGCCACGTCATACCATCACAGCAATCATGCTATCACCGTGTAGAACCACCTCCTTTCAACCCCACGATAGATCAATCATCAGCATGCAATAATATCATCTATGCTGTTGCGGCATACTAGACCTATGTACCCCTGATGAAGAACTTCCTCTAGATTGCCCGCTCGGCATTTGACCCATTTCTAACTCATGGCCGCTACAACCATTTCCTAAAATCCTTCTTTCATCACCAGTTCTCTCTCCGTTGCGTGGCCCCCTCCCATGCTCCCTGTCCTCTGATGTATTGCCCAGTGCTCGACTTGATTGATGAACAGCCGCAACAGTAATAGTTTGTGTGGAATCCACGCCATTCCGGGGAGGACGGAACATAAGTGGAAGGTAATCGTCCGTATCGCATGCAAACCGAGAATTCTTAAAATGTTCCTCCAGAGCCGCTCGACCCTGAGATCCATTGAAAAATAGTTGATGAGGAAAAGAAGAAAAAAAAACAAAAAAACGAGGGGAGGGAGTGGGAGAGCAAGGCAGGAAAGTTAAAAGATCTCTTTGGAGGACTTTAGCTTAGGGTAGTGATATTCGGACTATTGATGTCTGCGAGGACGTAAGCCATTTGCAGACAGATATGCATACCTGGACTCTTGCATATGTCACGTGACACACTTTCCGTGAGTTGAACTCTTCCCATTGTTGAAGATGAAAAGCTCTATACAGTCTCATTGTTGCTTGGACAGTAGTAAAATTCACAAATGCGTACCCCAGGTTACACCTATTCCTGCCAGATTAGAGTTCAACGTCAGTCCGAATACGGATCCACTTTATCTTTCTAGGACCAATGTTTTTACAATGTGAAATGATGAATTGCTGTGAACAAGGCTGCAACAGAGGATTTGAGCTTGAAGGTCCACAAGTATCAAGGAGAGGGCGACTTACTTGAAGTCAATTGGCAGATAAACAAAATCATATGCTGACTTTGGGTCATTTGGATCCTCTAGACGTTTATTGCATTCAATACAGTGGGTGTCCAGAAGCGAAAGTAGCATCTGCTGACTGCATCAGATAATGTCAGCGATCATAACCAAATGTATCAAGACTACCTCAAAACAGATCACACGAGAAGGTTGATGACTCCACAGAAACCAGTAGCATATACATACCAACACAAATTTTCAGTACCAAAATTTATTCCATGAGCAAGTACAGTCATGGTACAATTCTCAAGTGAAAAAGGACGAACACAATTTACCTGTACTTATTAGGGATGTTTTTAATCATAAGAGTTGTCCGATGAGTATCATTGGTTTGAACTCCAGATTCATCAAAAATGTACTGAGGAGGAATATCTGCTCGAGAAGCTAGTTTGTTTGTCGAAATGCGCGTGCCCACGCGAGGACCTTCCCTGAGCTTCCCTCCCGAGCCTAAGTGACTCGCAGAATCTACTTTACCAAAACCAGCATTTCCATTTACAGACGAATTGCGCTTTGACCTGCGACTTGAAATCCCATCTACTCTACCCTGCCCGCTGGTGCTGCCGCTCCCACTCCCAAATGATCCCTGCGCTCTTGAGGGAGCGTAGTTTTCACCAGGAGACGCTGATGCTCCAGTGTAGGGCATCGTCAAGGCCCTACCCCCAGCTCTACCGAACGACAACGCATTCATATTTCCAACGACAACAAGCGAGCCTGCAGGGTTTGCCGGGCCTCCCTGCATGGACGTGTAGTTGTAAGTTTGCAGCTGGCCGGCACCACTACTCCAAGGTGCTTGCACTAATCCTAAAGGAGAGACTGGAGTTCCAATATTTGGAGACCACAAACAAGCAGGGGGGGCGCCGTGGGCACCCGGCATTGTTACAGGTCCACATGCAGCATCTCCACTCCATGTCCCCATTGCGTATAGAGGTTGACCCGCGACTGCGACTGGCCCTGCTCCGGCTAGAGAAGGCAAACTGCTAGCTATTGAATTGTACACTGAGCTCCCCTGCGCCCGCTGTTGAAGCTGTACACGAGCCTTGTGCGCTTGGCCACCAGGACGACTGAACTCAATCTTTACACGCTTTCCGTGTATCTCCGTGCCATCCAGAGCTTTAAGAGCTTTAGCAGCATCTCGCACATCAAAAAACTCAACAAATTTGTGCTGCTTCTTGGCAGGGGTCTCTCGTAATTCTTTAACATCACCTGTATCATTACAGGCAATGACCAGGCATTAGCTTCAAAATATTGCACATTAACAAAGTCCCTAAACAGTTTAGAACAACACTCAAAATGGTTGAAGAAGATCAGGTGCAGGCAACTTGGTCGTACCAGTAAGATATTGACAACAATGGTCTACACTACACATAATCACAACTAGTGACGAAAAGATAATATGTATAACTACACGAACCTGTATATCCGCATCCTTGATGTAGTGGCTAACTACACAAAGGAGTAATTCAGCTACGAAGTGGATTTAACTTAATAAATTTTAATCTCTCAATTGTGGCTATGACTAAATAATCTATTAAATGATCATGTGGTTAAATAGAAAATTGACGCTAATGAGTAAAACCATGAGGTTAGGAGACAGTTTTGCAGCAAGACAAAATAAGTTAACGTGCAAGTCAGGGAGCTATCATCGCTGTGAAGCTTACATCAAGAACAATTATGAACACCAGCCTCTAGACAATGCCGTGTTGGCCATTACGGAATTGAGGTAAGGAAGACTATGTACCGTAGACTTCAAAAACAGACTTTAGACACTCCATGGTCGTGTCGACGTCCAGGTTGAAAACTACAAGAGTGCCCTGATTCAGACCATCAGGACCTGCTGCAGCCCCGATGGGAAGCGTGTACTGAGCCCACATCACAATGCCACAGACAAGACCTTTCGCAGAATGAGATGGCATAGACGAGGAACCAGTACTCTCTGGGAGCAACTCTGGGTGCTTCACCGCATCCTGCCTCTCAAATGCCATGTCCGCATTCTCCCGAGAGCTACTACTGCTATTCACTCCACGCTGCTTCTGAGACAGCTGGTACTGCTGCTGCATACGATGCTGTTTGTTCAGATGCTGTTGCTGAATATCCCTTAAAGCATCCTTGGCACAGCGGAGATCGTAAAAGTTGACAGTGACCAACCCCTCCACGAGTTTGCGGTCTGAAACAATAGTCCTCACATCGCCCCATTTTCCCATCTCGACTTTCAGTTGTTCGTCACTGAGAGAGGCAGGTACACCATTCAACAAGATAGCCCGAGACACGTGCTCTCTGCCTGAAATTGGCGGGGTAGATAAAATATTGTTGCTAGAAATTCCTAGTGAAGGAAGTCCCATAGCTTGAAAAGGCGGAATGCCAAACGACCGTAATGCGTGAGAAGATTGAACTCCTGGTAACCCCACAGGAGTTACAGAGAGATGACCAGCAGTAGCACTTTGTGAAACCTGCTGGCTAAGGTCAGGAATTTCTATCCCACCCCAGGGAGCTGAGGGCGGAGCTGAGACGGGAACATAAGCTATTTGCGCTCCATTTCCGTAGAGCGATATTGTCGTATCCGATCCATAAGTTGGACTGTAAATCATTCGACTACTATCCACCCCGGAGACGTAGATGTGACCTGATTCAAAAGAATACGAGGAGGGTACACCAATGTGGTGCTGCAGTAGGGGTGGGGGCACACCAGGAGATATACATGGCGACGGGCCATTGGGAGTGTACTCCCGGGCGTTGGGATCAAGCGATGCCTTGGCATCATGACAGGAAGCATGGCAAGTCCCTGGAGACACGGCAAGAGTAATTGGGAGGCTGAAATTGGAACTCTGAGAGTAATCAACCTCGCGATGGGCCTCGTGCTGCAAGTCTGCGAGCTCACCGTCCATCATTCTCTGGTCAGGGAGATGCAATGCAGGTGGAGGCCGGCATTCATGCGCCCTCGGCAGCGGCAAGTCGAATCCTCTCGGTATCCCACTGTACTGCACACCATGGCCGTGACCGAGTCCATGTTGTGGCTGCTGCTGCTGCTGCTGCTGCTGCTGCTGAGTCACATAATCCACATCAATGTTGTTGTCAGGTTGTCGAGATAGCTCAAGAGAGCTAGACAGAGCGCCGTTTTCAACTACCTGTAATCCTGTTTCACCTGCTGCAATGCCCTCTGGAGCTGAATCTGTAAATTCCCCAGATTCACAGCCCATCCTCTGAAACGCGTCCCGTGTAAGCTCGACGTCATCGTAATGGATGTTGTTGTCGTTGGTGTAGGTTGAAGTTCCACCACTTTCAGTCCTATCACCACCCATCCTTTCGGAAGCACTAATACCGTGAGCTGCTAGCGTCGACGAAGAAGCTTGGCTGCTGCAAGAGAGAAGACGTCCCTTTATTGTCCTTTCCACATGAGCACGCTCGCCAACACTTGCCAATCCTACACTGCAAAACTGCACTTCTACACCCGCATTAACTTCTCCGCCCATGCTACACTTAAACCTAACACTAACTGCGGTGGTTTCAGGCAAACTTCCTCAGACTCTCAGCAGTGAGCAGCCATCTCCTCAACTGAACCAGGTCGATGTCGCAATGACAAGCGTACATGCACGGTACAGCTCGCCTATCACGCGCCTCCTGTTCACAAAACCTTTCACCTGTAACCAACTCCACCCTTACCGAGCTTAAGTGATGAGCAAACAGCTACAGACGGCTTTTCCAGTCTTGGCTTTCTGTGTCTGTCACGCCCAAGTACGACAGTCGATATACTGCATCCTGCAATACAACCAGCAACACACAACACATTCTCATTCCTCGAGCATGCTCCGAAACTACAGTTGCAAGCGGACTGATGTACAATGCTGGTTGCTACCAGACAACCACCACGCACATGAGATGGGTTGCGGCTCCATGAGTGGGAACCCTACAGCGAGAACCTGGCGCGTTGGCCATGCAGAGCACCTCCAACGGCCCAAGGAAGACTAACTTCGATACATGACCGAAACGAGCTGCCTCATGGGCTACTTGAGTGCAACATAACAGATCAATCGTACCCCCATATGAGACTATTCTTGCCTCTGACCCCGACGGTAGCATTATAAAACCCGCGGTTCGAGTCTCTCCATCCACTTCCGCTTCGGTCTAGGTTTCTGGGCCACTAGCACTGCAGCGTGCAGCAAGAAAACTGGGATGTGACAATGCTAGACACCAACAGCGTACACCAGACCTGTCAGTTCAACGGAATTCGGGCGATGCTCCCCCAACAGGCATGAATTACAAAAACCTACTGCAGAAACGTAATGTGAGGTACTACTTGCGGCGACATGAACCCGTCGAAGACCTCCAGACGCTGCAAACCACCCGAGTGATACGTTCCGATTTTCCTCCTCACACGCATGCATCTAGCACAGGCAAACTTCGCCTGGCCGGCAATGTCAACTCACCCTTGCACAACTGATTCTCCACTAAACCGCCACAGAGAATCAGTACCCAGTGACACTCATCCAAACTCCCCTACAGTTACGCACATCAGAATAATAAGCCACAAAGGTATACACCACTACCACCACCACCACAACCACCTGCTCCGCCTCCTGCTCCTCCTAAACCGATCGCTACCTCTGGACCTCGTTCCCACCTCCTCCGAAAGCCAAAACATCACAACCCATACCAAACAAACAAAAATTGATAACCCCTTTGACTCACCTCATCCCGGCACTAATATCACCACCCGCAGAAACACCACCGAATTACACCAAATAAAGAAGACCACTCGGCTACCACCCTCGCCAGTGCGCCCTCATAAAGAATCTCACACTCCTCTGGCACACACACTCAGACAGTCCCCTCTCCACTACTCGATCAAAATCCTCGCAATCTTACGCAGCCTCTCCCTCCAATTCCTGTTGCCGTCTGCAAGGCCCCGGCAACCACCACCTTACCCCACCATTAAGATCGCGGGCCAAAATCGCACACAAAGTGCGCGACCCATGCGATAAATGAAGGAATCGAGGGCAAAGAGCAAGAGGGGTTGGTATGAGGAACCCGAGTGAGAGGTAGACGTTCCCCACGAAGAAGAAAGGAGAGCAGGAACAGCAGGAGGAGGGGCAGGAGAAGACTTGTTGGGGCTGAAGGGGTGAGAAGGAGGGAAAGACAGAGGAAGAAAGAAAGAAAGAGAGGGAGAGGGGGGGGGGGAAGAGAGAGTGCGAAGGCATGAGCCCCCACAGACGAGAGTCGAGACAGACAGACAGGCAGACAGACAGAAGGCAAGCCAGCCAGCACAGCCAGGCCCAGACACTGCCCACCAGACCGAGACCCACCCCACCCCGCAATACACTACACTACACTACACTCACTCACTCCAGACGGGGAGGGGGAGGAGGGAGAAGGAGGGAGCAAGGGGAAAAGAGAGAAGGGAGAAAGTGGGAAAGGGGAGGGAGAGGGTAGTAGCATGGGAGCCAGGGAGTAATCTCTCTTCTCTTCACTCTCACCCCCTCTAACCCCACCGGGCCGGGCCAAGTCGGGCCCGGAGGGGGTGGGGTGCGGGGGGGGAGATTGGTCCGTTTGGCCCGATGGAAGGGTCGAGCCCCGCCGACATGTTGCCCCCGGTGGTGTGTTTGATTGGCTGCCCGATGGACGGGGAGCTATAATTAATGCTTCATCCGAGATGAATAGGCGGCTCAGTGGCGGCGGTGCCAGTCCGGTGGGTCCTCCCCGCATAAGTCTGTTGCCAAGTGGTCCTTGACGGTAGATTTTTGTGGTTTGACGAGTGCCCGCTGCTGCCTGGTTGCCGTAGGATCGTGGGGAGCGTTTGAGTTCTGTGCGTTGATTGTGCGTCCCTCGCGGTGTAATTAAGGTGCAGGAATTGGGTGGTTTAATGCGTCGGGCTGCCAGTTAATGGGCTCTCCTCCTCCTCCCCTCCCCCCTCCTCTCTTCAGGTTTTGGTCTGGGGAGTCGTTCCAATGCGGATCATTGCAGTATCCGGGTTTCGTTTCTCAAGAATGTTTGGTCCGCTGATGTCTCCCTTACCACGCTTCTTCCACTCTGTCTTGTTTGGATTCTGAACTGGGTGGGAGGAAGAGCTTTTTCCCACTCGTGTTCCAGGCGAGGGGAGTGTGTTCCCATATCGGTCAAATAGAGATTCTTTGTGGTATTGTTTTCTGGCCTAGAGCATTGTTTGTCTCAACAAACACAGAGTGAATCACATAGGAGAGATTCTTCCAGATTGTCAAGGTGCTCTAAACCCTAAAAGAGTGATGGAAATGGGGTCACAAATCATTTCCCCGGCTTTCAGGTATGTTGTTGAATTCCACGATATGTTCATACTTGTGGGACCAAGTGTTGAAGAAGGAGATGAACTAATTGTTGAAGGAACTCTCCCTATGGTAACCAAAGCAAACTCGCTACAATCCAAGCATCTTTCAGACAATCCAGTGAATCTTGATCATGACATCTCATTTGCTACATCCACATAGGATTGTTTTTATGGGCAGCAGATAAATTTTATTATTCAATGAAGAGGGTCAAAAATGTTAGTCTGAAGTCTTCAACAAAGGGGGGGGGGAGGTATTGTCTGGATGTGGGGGTTTAGATTTCCCAACAAGAATCTAAGTTAACAAAATCTATGCCTCAGGTGTGGGGAAAAAAACAAAACTAAACAAAACAAGCATTTCTTGGTCATGGTGACATGTTAATGATGGACTTATTGATCAACTCCAAGTAGGATTCAAGTCAAAAACCCCTAAACTAAGTGTGTGGCTTTAAAAAGGGAGGGGGGGTAGGGTCTTTGCTCTGCATCCATGAATTTCGACCCTTCCTTCCCAAGTGATCTCAACCAAATATTCAGTTATTTATAGATGGACAAATAATCATGTTCTGAGCATATGTGTTTATTTCATTGAACACCAACATCTACTTTAGATACAATCTTGCCCAACCCCACTTTTAACACTTGTCTTATTTTTTATTTCTCTAATCAACTAGACATTTTGACTGAACTCCTATCCACACAGAGGTTAGGAATGAAATAATAATAATAATAATAATAATAAATCAATGCGATCCTCTTTTTTATCTCCATTTTGGGACATAGTGTTGAGGACTAAATACTGGCTGCATGAGAACGAAAACAAAAGGAAGCAAGATGAAGAGCCCAGACCATTCAAATTGTTTTTCACATGGACACAATTGTATACTAGAGTTTTGAAGAAGAGCTTACACTGGTAAGATTACTGCTTGGCTTTCATATCAAACATTACATTACCAAACACTCTGTGTTTTATTTTCATTTATAGTCCAGCTTAAGCAAATTAGATTTTTGTCTCCCACAAATCCAAAACATAACTTTTGATTAGCCAGCCCTAAAGATCATTCATTGAGAACTTCGTTCACACGACGAGCACCTGGAGAAACACAGCACATTCCTTGATTGTTCACGGACAGTGTGTTTCCCATTTCCTGCGAGTTCTCAACGGGAGCACAGGTTACATACAACCTGTGATGCCCGCTGCTCCAAAAATTAAATATATGTATATATATATTATTAGTTCGCATCCAGAGAAAAAATCGGGAAAAAAACATGATCCAGTGATATGTGCGACTAAACTTCAGTTATCTCGCGACACAAAATAGAGCCCGTTATTACAAAAAGTTCCATTATTAGGGCAAGAGAAAAACGCAGTCTCTTCCTGGTCTTATTTTTGGAACTAGATGTCATTTAACTTTGAGCACTGGATGTATGAATGGCCCCCATGCACGCAGGACCTCCCCAAAAAATCCTTTTTCCCTTTAAAAAAGTTTTGTAGATCTAATCTGAACTTTGGCCTGGAGTTTATTATTGGAGCACTCATACTTCTCGAGTCTCAACTCTTCCAAGTAGTTATATGTTTCCTTATTTTGGAAAAAACCGGAGGCGCGTTTGGGCTGTGTTAGTAATGGCTCCCTTGTCCCGATTCACACTGAAAAGGGATGACTCCCAGACAGAGAGCTGGAGTGCACTTTTTTAAATATACATATATATTTTTGCACCAAATGAAGGTCTGGTATTCAATAAGTTCGGCATCCTGTGAAGGAGAGAGTGAGGAGAGTTGTGTGACCTTGTACAACCTTTGAATAAACTAGTGTGTGTGTGTGTGTGGGTTTTGTGACTGTAAAGACTCCTTCCAATATGTGTTGCATCTTCTAGATTAGATTCTCTTGAGCATTCAGGTCAAATACCTGATATTATAAACCCATACACACAACAAGGTATCCCATCTGGCAGAAATGGGAGGTCAACTCCAGAAGTCACTTTATACTGTAGTTTAGGTGTTTCTGTTTTTCCATGGACGAACTGGGTCATCTCCAAAAACTGCTTCTTCTCTTCATTCATGGACCCAAGGGTTGAAATTCGAACTGAAAGCTCTTGTTGATCATTTTTACTCTATTTCTTTTTACTTCGCCATCATTTCATTTTTCATTTTATCCCTACAAATAGTCTCTGGAGATATGAAATCCCTGCCGCTGACATCACACTTGTTATGGTAGTTGTTGATCAATCAACAGATGCAGTCATCTTGATACTTCTTCTAGGGAAAAATATAAATAATAGGGATTCAGGTCAAGTCCCAACACTTAGAAAAAATAAATGAACCAATTTAATTGGACGGGTAAATTTGGAGTTTGAAAAAGGACCATAAAAGACCCTTTTTTTTATTTAACTGTATCCCTCGTCCTGAATTAATGTCCTCCCAAAAAACACTTATTTTCTCCAAAACCTTCTTCAACTACGTGGAAAAAATGGTAATTGGTCTTTCTACTAGATAGAGCACCGTTTACTTTTAGTTGTCACTCATAAACAAGAGTTTAGTTTTCTGTCTCTCTCTAGTGGACCATGATGACATTTTAAGTAGGAATTCTCATGTTTCATCCAAAAAATATATATCTCCATGTCATTAAGAAAATTAACCTTTTGCAAAATGAAACTGTGTGAACATAATTTTAACATTAAGATTTCAAAGAAATTAACTTTACAATCTCACACACAGGACTGTGACATATTATTTAAAAACACTGGAATGTCAACATGTCTAGCATACAATCAATAAAATACTGTTTCTAATGCAGTATAGTCACTTGAAAAAATCAATAAATGTTGAACAAGTTATTGATCAATAAATAAATAACTATATATATATATATATATATATACTGTGAGAGATAGGGAAAGAGACACACACAATGCACAAAAAGCATTGTGCAACATAAAACAATGAAATAGCACCATGGTCTTAAAAAATTTTACTGTGAATAATAACAGTAATAATAAGTTAATAAAAAATCTAATTTGAATATTTTATTTATGCATTAAATTGAAGTTACAAATGACATGTTTTATTTATAAATATACTGGGATAAGTTTTTGATACACTACTCAAATGGGTGTGCCTTGTAGAGCTTCTTTCTACCAAGAGGGCTTTACAGGGCAAGGCCAATAATCTCTAAACGAGGGAGTACTTACTTACCCTACACCAAATGCTGGACAGCTATTCAGCTATTTGGTTCTCAACTGGGATAGGGGAACCATAAAAGCAAAGCCTTTGACACCCACAGGACATGCATTTGCTAGATCAAGGGTGCAGAGATTTTGGTCAAGTGAGAGAGAAACACTGTTGTTAGAATGTGCTGGTGCAGTCCTCCATCTCACAAGTTGCCAACATCAACAAACATATGAATTAAAATAAAAAAATAAAAAAAAGTCTTGTGTGTGTGTTCAACCTGAAATAACACAGCTAAAATAACAGGGGAACATCAAAGAGGAACTCCATGTCATTTCAGCACCACTCATTCATTCATCCATGCAGCCAAATGTGAATCCATAAATTTACTCATTTGTTCCATGCATCCAAATACAAGTTAACTGTATTTGCACACATGATGCAATTGTAAGTGTGTAGGGTCTTTGTAGCAAGAGAGTGCATGGGATACAGATGCTGAGTCAGCACTTTTTTATTTTTTTTATTATCATTCCATTTGGAAGTGGTGTGTCCTGGCTCAACATCAGTCTACCTGTTGATCCAACTTGGGCATGATTGAAGAATGAAACCGTGGTTCTTGCTTTGCTTTTATTTGCTTTGCTCTCTCCATGTCTTTCTCTCTTGTGTGATAAAAGAGTACTAGTTTCTTGCCCTGCCATGTTGTTCTGCAGATGGCTTTTGGGAATATTTTGAAAATGCATGAAACAAAATTAAAGAACTCAAGATTTGCATTATTGTTCTAAGCGAGAGAGAGAGAGAGAGAGAGAGAGAGAGATTGTGCAAGCTTAAACAAAAGAAAAGTAAATAACTTGTGCCAGTTGTTGTATTTATTTGAATTCATTCAACAATGTTTGACACTTTACATAGCCATTCAGGAACACACACACCCACACACTTCCTCTGTTCAGAAAATTAGAGATTCTAAATATGTATGAT